TAGATGAAAATTCTTGTTCTTGGGTAGAACATTGGCTTAAAAATAAAGTACAAAGAGTTGTCATTAATGGTGAATTCTTAAGCTGGACAGAGGTGGCAAGTTGTGGCCCTCAGGGATGTGGAATTCTCTGCCTGAAGAAGTGTTTTTTTCAGAGTCCATACAGATGTTCAAACAGCTACTAGATGCATACTTGCAAAAACAGAATATTCAAGGATATAATTTTTCAATGTATGGTAATAGCTGCTTGATCCAAGGATAAATCTGACTGCCATTCTGGGGTCAAGAAGGAATTTCTTTCCTAGTTTGTTGCAAAATTGGAAGTGCTTCAAACTGGGGATCAACAGCAAATGTGAGGAAGGCTGAACTTGATGGATGCAAGTCTCTTTTCAGCTATGTAACAAATACAAAATTCTGTATACAATTCTTGTATAATATTTTCATTAGCCGCTATGTAAAATAATAAAACAATCATTTGTTGAAACATGGAAGTATATTGTAAACTCAACAAGTCAAAGTAGTGTTTGTACATAGTGTATACCATTTCAATGTTACAATCTAACAGATGAATTTGGACACAATGGAATTGTTGATGTCCTGTGATTATTTGTCATATAGCAAGCAAACAAAATCATAAAGATGAAAGGAGACTGCTGTAGCACTCCTTCAGTTTTATATTGTTTTCCATCTATTTGCTGGTATCAGCTGTGCATCAAGGGAGTGTTTATTTATGTAATATTCTGTTTGTAGTATCCTGCAAAAGGTATTCCTTCTACATTCAAAATACAATTTCCTGCACTGCAAGATGCTTTCACAGTTAATTCACTGACAGTATGATGGTCAAACATGGCTCTAAGCATAGCAATCGCGTAACAGAATTATTTGTTAGTTTTTAGAGCTTTCCATAGTTTGGTCAATAGCAATAACCTTTATTAAAGAGACTCGGAAGACTGGAGTTGATCCCATTTTTTTTTTTAAACATTCAGATAGTACAAATAATAGTAACAAGTTACAATAAAACTAAAAAATATACTTAACTTTTATTGCCTCTGCTGCAGTGAGCTCTGCCCAAAGCAGGAATTACCTGAAAGTCATTAGGTAATTTCTGGAACACTACTAGACAGCCATCACTATTTGCCTTGTGGGGTGTTTCCTGTATGAAGTAGTTCATACCTACCAAAAGTGGAGTACAGGAAGGACAAACTGCATCAGAATCATGGGCAAATGGCATCAGGGTCACGGTCGACCAGGGCTCATTGGTGCACTTGTAGAGGGGAAGAGCTACTGTTGGTCAAATTGCTGAAAAACTTAATGCTGTTTATGATAGAAAGGTGTCAGAACACACAGTCCCAAGCAGTTTGCTGTGCATGGGGCTGCATTGCCACAGACTGGTGAGAATGCCCATGATGACCCCTGTTTACCACCAAAAGCACATTTAATAAGGACATGAGCATTCGAACTGGAACATGGATTAATGGGAGAAGGTTACCTAGTGTGATAAATCAAGTTTTCTTTTAGATCAGTTGTACGGCTGTATGTTTGTGCATTGTTTACCTCAGGAATAGATGGCAGCAGGATGACCTTGGGAAGAAGGCAGGCTGGTAGAGACAGTGTTATGCTCCAGGCAATGTTCTGCTGGGAAACCTTGGGTCCTAGCATTCGTGTGGATGTTAGTTTGACATATACCACCTACCTAGAGATTGTTACAGATCACGCACACACCTACATGGCAATGGTGTTTCCTGATGGCAGTTGCCTCTTTCAGCAGGTTAATACACCCTATAACACTGCGAACATTGTTCAGGAATGGTTTGAAGAACAAATGTCAAAGAGTTCAAGGTGAATTTGGCCTCCAAATTTACCAGATCCTCGATCCAACTGAGCATCTGTGGAACAAATTTGATCCATGGTGGCCCCACTTTGCAGGACTTAAAAGATCTGCTGCTAATATCTTGTAGAATATATGCCTTAACACAGCAGAGCTGTTTTGGCAACATGAGGAGGACCTACCCGACATTAGGCAGGTGGTTTTAATGTTTATGATCAGTTTATGAGTAATAGGGGGTTAAGGGCAAATTACCATTTCAGCTGCTATATTCATTTATTTTATTTTTCATACTATATGTTTAATCTATTTATATCTTTTGTCATCGTCCCCCCACCCTCCTTTTTTTCCTCAAATAATCTGTGAAAATATAATAAAATAATATAAATCTTACTTGGAATCCATTGTCGGGCTCTGGCATCCACAATCGTTTCCACATCTTTCTACTCGTGAACACTGCATTGTCTTCTCTTTGGTTGCGGTCCAATCAAATGCTTCTCATACATTGGTGAGTGTTGCATATGCTCTAATTAGAGGGGATAGCCTAGCTAGAGAGTATAGAAGGTAGTGGGTAATGGAAGAGTACAAGCAGTGGACATATTATGATTAATTTCCTGTCATTATTATGTTAAATGAGTGGATATGACAATTGTTTGCACACGCTCCTAATGGTCTCTGCACAATATTATCAGGGCCACCAACAGGGGATGACAACCATGATGGTTGTCACGGGCCCTGCAGTCCTGGGGGGCCCAGACTGCTCTGGCAGTCTCGGGCCCCACATTCCCTCTCTGCACAAATAGCGAATATCGCAATCTATGTGTGCAGCCGCGGGCCCCTGGCTCCCTTTTACCGCAGATGGGGCCCAGCATACTGCGTCTTCACATTCAGTTTATTTCTTCCAATAACTCTTGCGAGAGTTATTGGAGGAAATGAACTGAATGTGAAGATGCAGTGTGCTGGGCCCCCTCTGCGGTAACAGGGAGCCAGGGGCCCCACCATGACACCGGACCACCAGGGAATGGAATCTCCCCCCTCCCTGGACACAGGTAAGAAGCAGGGAGGGGTGAGAAAGATTTAATTAAATTTCATGTGAAAATGCCCCTTCCTTCCCCCCCCCAGTTTGCACATTTACACACACACTGCATACACCAATACAATGCATACACCAACACAACACACACACTGCATACACCAATACAACACACACACTGCATACACTAATATAACACACACACTGCATACACCAATACAACACACACACTGCATACACCAATACAATGCATACACCAAACACAACACACACTCTGCATACACCAATTCAACACACAAACTGCATACACCAATACAACACACACACTGCATACACTAATACAACATGCTCTGCATACACTAATACAACACACACACTGCATACACTAATACAACACACACACACTGCATACACCAATACAACACAAACACACACTGCATACACTAATACAACACACACACTGCATACACCAATACAACACACACTGCATACACCAATACAACACACACTGCATACACTAATACAACACACAGACTGCATACACTAATACAACACACACTCTGCATACACAAATACAACACACACACTGCATACACTAATACAACACACACACACTCCACACACTAATACAACACCCACTCTGCATTCACTACACATTTACACACACTCTGCATTCACTACACTGACACACACACTACATTCACTACACTAACACACACTGCATTCATTACACACTAACGCACACTCTGCATTCACTACACATTTACACACACTCTGCATTCACTACACTCTAACACACTCTGCATTCACTGTACTGACACACACACTACATTCATTACACTGACACACACTCTGCATTCACTACACTATGCACACACTCTGCATTTACTATACTGACACACACTCTGCATTCACTACACTAACATACACTCTGCATTAACTATCCACACAGCATCCACTACACAAACATCCTGTATTCACAGTACACACACTACATCCACCACACATTGAAACACTCTGCATTCACTATACAGAGACACTGCGTCTAATACACACACTACAGAAACTGCATCCACTAAACACATTGCATCTAGTACACACAAACACTACATCCACTACACAAACACACACTACGTCACTGTACACACACTATATCCACTACTCAAACACATTCTGCGTTCACTATACACACTGCATCCGCTACACAAGCACACACTCTGCATTCACTGCACTAACAGTATCTAATACACACAAACACTATATCCATTACACACATTCTAATTCACTTCCACTATACACACCACATTCAGTCCTGCATCATTGTCAGCGGACTAGGTAGGGCGTGGGCGGGCCCGGGGGGTTGGAGGGAGGGGGGGGCACAAAATTTCTGATGGCGGCCCTGAATATTATTATTATAATTTAGAAAGCGCCGACAAATTACACAGCGTCGTACAATCAGTGGCATCTCCAGGATTTATACTTAGAGTGGGCACATAAGGGGCCAGGGACAAATGTAGGGGGGGCATTTATAAAGTGTGTGTGTGTATATATATATATATATATATTACATACACACTTATATACACATTTTATAACTGCCCCCCACTTTTGTCCCTGGCCCCTTATGTGCCCCTCCCAAGTATAAATCCTGGAGGCGCCACTGATTGTGCAACGCTGTGTAATTTGTCGAAATACATACACAGGGCTTAACAAATTCCAGGCGCCAGGTTGCCATGGCGACTAGACATTTCGCTCTGATGCCTGTCATTTGTCAGCCCTTTGCTAAGCCTCGCCGCAGGGAGCATGGAGGCGGAATGCAAGTAGTAACCTTCCTGCAGTTCCCCTCTGCTCCCTCGCGTGCTGTTTAGTGACATGACTTGCACTTTTGGCAAAGCTTTTGGACAAAGACACTTTAGTTGCATAAGTGTTTTAAGCAGGGCCGGACTGGCCCACCGGGATACCGGGAAATTTCCCGGTGGGCCGCGGCACCTTGGGGCTGCGCATGTATGTGCCACCGGCCACCCAGTGGCACACTCAGAGGGGGCTGGCCTCGTTCCAGGCTGGAGCCGCCGGGCCGGGTGGCAGCCTCGCCGGTCCGGCGGCACTTCTGTCACTGATGAAGCTGATGGCTGAAGGAGGAGGAGCATGTCTACCATGCTCCCTCGCGGTTCCCACAATTCCCAGCACAGCATACTGATACATCATACTGTGCTGGGGATTGTGGGAACCGCGAGGGAGCATGGTAGATAGACATGCTCCTCCTTCAGCCCTCAGCTTCATCAGTGACAGAAGTGCCGCCAGACCGGCGAGGGGAATAGACACAGGGGAAGGAGGAAGAATTAGACAGAGGGGCAGAAAGAGGAGGAATAGAGAGATGGTGGAGGGAGGAGAAAGAGACAGAGGGGGAGGAATAGAGAGATGGTGGAGGGAGGAGAAAGAGACAGAGGGGGAGGAATAGAGAGATGGTAGAGGAGAAAGACAGACGGAGGGGGAGGAATAGAGAGATGGTGGAGGGAGGAGAAAGAGACAGAGGGGGAGGAATAGAGAGATGGTGGAGGGAGGAGAAAGAGACAGAGGGGGAACAGAGATGTGGAGGAGGGAGAGATGTGGAGGAGGGAAAGACACAGGGAAGGGAGGGAGAAAGAGACAGAGGGGAAGAGAGATGTGGAAGAGGGAGAGACACAGGGAAAGGGGGAGAAAGAGACAGAGGGAAAGAGAGATGTGGAGGAGGGAAAGACACTGGGAAAGGGGGGAGAGATGTGGAGGAGGTAGAGACACAGGGGAAGGGGGAGAAAGATACAGAGGGGAAGGGAGAGACAAAGAGGGAGAAAGGAGAGAGACACAAGGGGAGGGGGAGAAAGGCAGAGGGGGAAGAGAGAGACTGGGAAGGAGAGGGGAGACATTGACACAGAGGAGCAGTGAGGGGGAGAAAGAAACAGAGAGAGTGACTGGGGGGAGACAAAAAGGCACACAGAGGGGCTGAAGATAAAGAGACACATATAGGGGCTGTGTATATCACTGGTGGATGGGGGGGCAACGGGGCAATTCCACCCCCCTACACGAGGCTTTCCCCTGCCGGCCGATCTCCCTCCCCGTTCTGCAGGCACCGTGCGGGAGGAAGAGAGGACCCGGGAGCTCAACCTGCAGCTCCACTGGGTCCTTTGCGCACGAGCACAGAGCGTTGCCTCAGTTACCACGGCAACGCTCCGGCTCTCACGAGGGTGAACTCTAGCCCTGGAGCTACGGGCTAGAGTTCACTCTCACCACTGCGACCAACAGGGATTCCTGGTGGTCGCAGTAGTGAGAGTAAACTCTAGCCCCATACACACACTGCCCCCACACACACACTATACACATTCACACACTGCCCCCACATACACCATACACATTCACACACTGCCCCCCCATACACACATTAACCCACACATGCTACACATTCACAAACTACACCCCCCCACACACTGAACCTTTCACACACATTGCTCCCCTCATACATTGCAGCACTGCTCCTATACCCTACTACAGCCCTATATCCCAGCAGACTCCAGGTAAGTTGTCAAACTGTTCTTAAACGGTTTGACTACTTACTCTGGGAGGGGGTCCTGGCACTCCTGGCACCATAACCACTACACAGAGGAGTAGTGATTATTGTGCATGGAATATTTCTTTAAATAATCTACAAGTGCCCCTCCCGAGATCAGGCTCTGGATCCGCCACTGGTATATGACATGTATAGTAATGTGTGTATTATATATATATATATATATATATATATATATATATATATATATAGAGAGAGAGAGAGAGAGAGAGAGAGAGAGAGAGAGAGAGAGAGAGAGAGAGAGAGAGAGAGAGAATAATGCCTATTATATTTACACGTATATTAATGTACATTTATATATGCATAATACACAGAGGAATGTCATTAATATGTACCATATGTAATGAGCAGATATTGGCCCAGTCTTGTTGCTAGGTGCATACTCCAGCACAATAACATATTTAAAGTGAAGAGCGCACCCACAGGACTTCAAAATAAACATTTTTACAGTTGTGCCCTACATATATTCACCATTTCAGTCCCATTACCAAGCTTTCCTTAATATGTCAAGGTAGTTGGACTGAAACATTGATTACATGCAAAGGCACATCTGCTTAAAATAAATCTGCACTTTTGTTTATTTTTAAGCCTATGAGTGCTCTTTTTACGTTGGAGTAATACTTTTTAATTTAAAGTTATCTGTTCTAATTCTGTATCTGCACACTATGCTGGCGCGACGCATTATGGGGCTGATAAATATTTTTTTCCAGGGCTGCTTTTAATTCCCAGTCTGGCCCTGGTTTTAAGTGTTGCATAAAGACACTTTAAAAATGTATAGATTACACTATTTTAAATGTAACAGTCTTAAAGACATAGCACACCTGTTTTTTGGTATTTAGAGTGCATGTATATGGGCCATTGCACTGTAGGTGCTGCTTTTTTGTTTGCACAATTTTATATTGCATCTATAGGAGTCATCTTGAAAATTATTATAGCTTCATCTTTTACTTGTTATTTTGTGTATGTTAGGATTTGGTGATTGACTGTACATGAGGGATGAAGGACATGTTTGAGTCAAATAGAACACCTAGGCAGAAAGTTGACTTGGGCAGAGACAGGCACAGTAGTAGAAACACTTGAGGCAGGAAAGACAAGAAGTTTTGTTTAGGACATTTTAAAGTTAAGGAAATTAGCAGCCATTACATTGCTCACTGTTAGTATTAAAAAATATAAAATAGAGGCTCACACATAGTGAAACATTTCTGGAATCTAACCAATAACTCTGCCCTGATTTGTATACATGTTCCTAGTTCATTTTGATTTATTTCTACATTAATAGAGTTTGTTCAAATTCCCCCATTTTCTTTCTACTTTTAGAACGATTAGAGAGGCATGGTATACCTTGCATTTTCAAATATACGGTTGAAGAGTGTAAAAGGTAGGGAAGAAAGCAGTGGACATGCTAAAAGTGTAAGGGGTAGGGAGGCAGGGAGTTCCTTAAAGGCTGGCACTTGGGAGGAAGGAGAAATGATGCACTTTATTAGGGTTCCTTTTTGCCAGCACGCGCACAGCACTACTTGCAAGTGAAGAAGCTAATTATGCCTGTCGCAAGCCTCCAGTGTGTTCTGCATACAGGCATATCTTTTGCATAAAATTAATATTAAGCAGCACGAATCAGCTGCACAAAAAAAATGCAGATTTGCTGGAATGACCCTTTAATGTGTGGTCCTGATTGTGTGTTAGTGCTCATGTATCCATGCATGTTATACTGTGTCTATGTAAACATGACTGTCTGTGTGAGCATGTTCCTAATTAGGTTGGGATGCATGTGACTTTGTGTGTTTGCATCTGTTTAATTACATGTATGTGAAAAGGCAGCTTTGCATGTATATCTGATTACATTTAAAAATATATACATAGTATCTGCTAATGCGTCTGTGGCTACTTATAAACAGTCTGATCGTGTGAAAGAGGGTGGGGGTCCTGTAAATGAAAATGGTGATTGTGGTCTTTAAAACGCCATTTTGGCAGATTGTTAATCTATATAGCAATAAGTGAGCCCGGAGATTGCTTTTTCAGAATCCCTGCCATAGGTCAGAGGTCAGGATCACAAAATGCAATGTAAGCTGTCACACTGACATTTCCACTGCTCAATAGCATAACATGAAATGAGGACAAACACTTCAAATAATAGGATTAACCATGGCCACTAGGATTATTGATGTCTTCTCAGTTATACTGAAATACGATAATTTTCTAATAAGATAATAAGTGACCATGGCATCGCATCTACCAGGGTAATAGGATATATTTTACCAGGAACATGGATGACAAATAATTAATCTAAATCTAAACTGTAAAGTCCAGAAAATGGAGAGAAAGTACAAAGCAGCATCTTGGGAATAATCCCAAAATTGCTCCTTATGTGTAATGTCCCTTGTAAATTACTGAATGTCACATCTGCAAAATACGTAGTAACACCAAATCTTATCAAAAATGAGTTGTAGAATTCTTAAAGCACCCAATTTGTGTTGAGGGCTGTACTCAAAGGTTTTCATGGCACTCTGGAGTCTTTGGGGGAGAAAATGCATATTTTTAATATAACATTTTTTATTAAATTTATATAGTATAAACTATAAAGGATGCATAAGGCATGTAGTTTAATAGTATAGTATAGAAATTTGATTCCATTGTGGGGTGTTAGAATCTTCAATCCCTGGTGTGATAGCTTGTGTTGTCTCCATAACATTGTAATTTCCCATAATACACATTCATGTATTTACATATTATTACAAGATTATTATTGCTAAGCACTAATTTGTGTAATAGACATTTTATTTTTGAACTTTTCTAATTATGTAATTATAGTAATTTATAGATAATAGCAATTCTTTTGTTCCTCCGAAAAACAAACAGCAGATGAAATGTGAAATGTGTGTTCATTTTTGCTGGAATTACTATAAATCACAAGGCTTTAATAAAGTTAATTCATGCTGTGGTCAATTCACATTGTCGTGGGCTTATCTATTTAGGTATTTCTGTTACTTGAGAGTTTAATTCAGCAGGTTGGCTAAGGCCTAGCTCCCTCTTAAAAATGCTGTAAAGTCTTTTACATATCTAGTGCTTGATTTTAAATAAAATAGTTCTTATTAAACACAGCTCACATTTTTAATTCCCTGGAATACCTGCTTTTAAAAAGTAACAAGAAAAAGGTTTCTGTTTAAAGGTGATTCATGGTAATTTCAATAAATACAATCTACTCTAATGATTGCTAATGTTTATAACACTTCTACATTAAGACTGCTAGCATTACATTAATTCAAAGCATCTCCGGCACTCTGAACACATTTTGGTACATATTTTCTCTTCATCGCTGAGCAATATAAAACGCAGAGGAGCAGTATAAATGCATAAATGTGTTCTTTCAGTTACATTGTAAAAGAAAAAGCAACCTAATTTCTGTTGAATGTATTATTTGTTTTCTGTTTCTGATCTAAAAGAGTGGCTTAGTCTGAATTAAGATGGGTCTGTACTGATTAAAAACAAGACTATGTTTTATTTAATGAGAAATATCCCATTCTAAATTAAGACAATTCTGACATTGTGTAGCAGGTTTAGAGACGCTTTACATCAGTGCTTGACAAATCCCAGCCAACAGGCCTCTGCGGACTAAGAATTTGGTCCTGGCGCCTGGATTTTGTCAGTCGGTCAGCTCAGTCCGGTCAGCCACAGAGTAGTGGCAGATTAAATTGCACCATAGAAGGGCGATTTGAGGGCTTCCGATGGCCCTGTTTCACTGCTGCCCTTCTGTTCCGAGCTGGGTGAGCTGGGTAATCTGCTCCGCTGAGCGCCTGTGACATCACACACTGGCACTCAGAGGGTTATACTTTTGTGGAAGAAGCAGCATACCAACTGGGAAGCATGCGGAGTAACTGTCTCCGATAGAGACTCATTGTCCGAAAGCCCAGACTATCAATGAGAGAGTGTCACAGGTGAGCTGCATGCAGCCAGAATGTCACAGGGATAGCAGCACAAGAGACTTTCACTCAATAGCAAGCTGTAGGCTCTAGGTGAGATGGACTGTCACATGGAGAGACTGCAGCAAGAGTGCTAGACACTTTCACTAGTGTAGACTGCAATCAGGGAATGCTAGAGTATGTCTAAAACAAAGGGATTCTAACCATGGAGATCTAAAGACTGTCACAATTAGATACTGCAAGCAGTGTGTGTGTGTATCTGTCAGAGTTTGTATCTGTTTATCAGTCTGTCTGTCAGACAGTGTCTGTCATAGATTGTGTGTGTGTATCAGAGAATGTGTCTGTCTGTCAGACAGTGTGTGACTGTATGTCTGTCTGTCAGGGTGTGTGTGTGTGTGTGTGTATCTGTCTGCCAGGTAGTACACACAGATACAGGCCTATGTAGATAGGTAGTACAAGCGCTTTTGTATGTGCTATTAAATATGAATTATACCAGACAAATATGATTGGGCTGCTATATCACCCAATCATATTTGTCTGGTATAATTCATATTTAATAGCACATACAAAAGCGCTTGTACTACCTATCTACATTTGCCTTCAAGTATTTTTTATCTTTTTACTTTTCTGTACATAGCTGCTAATTGTTAGTAAATTTCCAATTATGTCTCTGTTTGATAAGAGGAAAAACACCTTAGTGGATATGGAAAATGAGTTTGCCAATTGGAATTCTAAACCATCAGATAAAATAAGAAGAGAGTATGATAGCAATTGTGATAAACTTGAAAAACTATTACAAAAAGAGCTTAAAATCAAATGGGAAATAGCAACATTAGAAAAATATTTAAAAGATGGTATTACTCCAAGAGGTCTAAGATATTTCAAATTACCTACCTTTGATAAGGATATAACAGGCTTTATGGATGAATGGAATATGATGTTGGAAGGTTTTTCCATCACCACCATCACCCTCATCATTAAAAGACAAAAAGAGAATGTAAAAGAACTAGACTTAGAGATTAATAAATGCCAGAATGAAATACTAAATTCTCTAAACCAAGAGGAATTTGATAATGTAACAGAAGATATTAAAAATAACCTGGACAAAATAGAAAAAGAGGTAATAGAAAATAAGAAAAACAAATATTATAGGGATATTAGAGACTACCAAACCAAACAAGTCAGAACCTTCTCAAAATATAATAATAATGAGATCGATAAATACCATGAAAAAAGAGGTACAATAGAATCAGAAGGGAAGACTATAGCGAATAAAAATGCTGAAACACAAGAGCAAAAAGGGATTAAGTTTGACCATACGCAGACATCCAACAAACAGTACCCAAAACCGAGAGAAAATGGATATAACCAATATAAGAACTACCCCACCAGACAGTATTATAACAGACGACCATATAACGACTGGGAAAGAGGGAGGGTACCCTACTGGCAACAAAAAGAACAAAGGAGAAGAGACTGGCACACTAGAGAGGGACAAGGGAACGAAAGAAAATATAGGAATGAAAAACAAGAGAGGGGTCATGAGTATAGACAAGAGAAAAGAGAATATAGACCATATAATACCTATAAACCATATAAAAAAGAGGAACCGATTCAAACTAGAAATAGGTTTCAAGTATTAGATGAAGTGAAGGATGAGGATTTTTGGAGGAGTCGGGGCAAAGAAAGACACAAGAGAGAAGAAGAACTTATGGATATAACTTACTCCAAAAGGAGAAGGGATTTAAGTATAGAGGAACAAGAGGAGGAAAACACACCAAAAAAAGAGAGAAGGGAGAGGCCATACAGGAACTAACATCTATGAAAGGGATACATAACCTTAGCAATAAAATCCTAACAGAGGAACACAAAAAGGTTCTGAGTAAAGGATTAAAATTTGCTCCAAATCAACCTTTAAACAAATTCGAATTTTATGTAGATCTTAACAGATTTAAGAGAAATCTATGTCTAAAAAAATTTTTTATGAAAAATCCTATGGAACTCCAAATAGAAGCCGAAAATAAGCTACATACAGAGTTGAAACCAAAATCACAATTTTACCCTAGACATATGATTTCGGAAAAAATGACGACTTTCGAAACGATGGTCATGACAGATGTTAAAAAATTAGAGAAAATACAAACGTTCAACCAAAACTTAAGTTTACAGGAAAAGAAGGCACTTAAAGATCTAAAAGAGGACATAGACCTCATAATAAAACCAGCAGATAAAGGAGGAAGTATAGTTTTAATGTCTAAGGATTTTTACTGTAGGGAGGCTGAAAGAATTTTAAATGATGTAGAAACATACAAAAAATTAAATAACAATCCGAGTAATGAAATCAACGAGGTATTTTATAATTTTTTTAATAAAGGGTTAAATCTGGAAATTTTAAATCAAAAGGAATTCCAATTTTTAAATAATCTATATCCGAAAATCCCTGTTTTCTATTTCTTGCCCAAAGTTCATAAAGATCTAAAAAATCCCCCAGGAAGACCTATTGTGGCAGGAATAGACTCAATATCAAGCAGGTTATCTCAATATGTAGATATACATCTGCAACCTATAGTTAAAAAAACCAAATCGTATATTAAAGACACCATGATGATGTTAAATCTTTTAAGTGAATGCAGATGGAACAACAACTGTTTTTTGGTAACCTGCGATGTAGCTGCCTTGTATAGTAATATACCACACGAGTACGGTTATGAAGCAACGAAACATTTTATAGAAAATCATTCAGACCTTACCCCTAGAAAATCACAATTCATATTGGAAGCCATAGAACTTATTCTAAAAAACAATTATTTTTGGTACAATGAAATTTTTTTTCTACAGATCAAAGGAACGGCCATGGGAACTAAGTTCGCCCCCAGTTATGCCAATCTTTTTATGGCATTTTGGGAAAATCATTTTATCTATGGTCAGCAGAACTGGGTGGAGAACTTAGTTACCTATGGCCGTTATATAGATGATATATTTTTTATTTGGGAAGGACAAGAAGAAGACCTATCCATCTTTCTTAATTCTCTTAATTCTAATATATGGGGGATTCAACTTACGAGTAATTGGAGCAAAAAAGAAGTCATCTTCCTAGACCTACATATATATATAGAAAATAATCTTATTAAAACTAAAAATTATTTTAAAACTGTGGAGGCCAATAGCTATATAGGTAGGGACAGTTGTCATTTCCTACCATGGTTGGAAAATGCCCCAAAGGGTCAATTTCTTAGGATAAGAAGAAACTGCACAGATATAGAGATGTTCGAAATGCAGTCTAACAAAATTAAATCGGACTTTATGGAAAAAGGATATGAAGAATCTAAATTAGAGATGTCAAGACAAGAGATCAGAGAAATAGAGAGAACCGGCATTTTACAATATAAAGAAAAAAAGAATAATGCTAGTAATGAAATTCCGTTTGTATGCACATACAGTTCGAATAACTATAAAGTGAGAAATATTGTGTCCAAATACTGGCATATCCTTTTACAAGACCCTGCTTTGAAAAGTTGCCTTCCAGAAAAACCTCGCTTTATACACAGAGGAGTGAACAATTTAAGGAAGTCCTTAACCTCCAGTTTCGTAAAAGAAAAACCAAATACAAATATGACTTTTCTAAATACAGAAAAAGGTTTTTTTGGGTGTGGGACGTGCCTAGCTTGTAAAAGAACAGGAAATAAAAAAAGACACATAAAGAAATTTAAATGTAATGAAGGTCATGAATATTCAATAAAAGAGTTTATAACATGTTATTCTAAAAACCTTATTTATCTCATAAAGTGCCCATGTGGGCTAAATTATATAGGGAAAACAACGAGAGCCTTACATTTAAGGATAGAAGAACATGGTAGGAACATTACTAAAGGTTTTGAAAAACATAGTGTGTCCTTACACTACAAAACTCATCATAATTGTGAGATAAAAGGTACGTCTTTTTTGGGAATAAATAAGATTTCCAAAGATTGGAGAGGTGGTAACTTCAACACGAAATTAAGCAAAATAGAAATGGAATGGATTTTTAAATTAAATAGTCTTATTCCCAATGGTTTAAATTCGGATTTTGAAATGTGTCATTTTTTAGCAGATTAATGTATTTATACTTTTCCTCTTCTATAGTTACTCCACAAGTCTCTAGTTACTTACATTGTCCTCTATTAGTATTTACTTATATATTGTTAACACCTCTCCTAGATTTTAACTTTTTAAAATCTGTGGGGTAGATTTAATTTTATAAGAGTTTTATAGATTTATTTATGCTTACCCCTTTTTTTTCTATTACCTAATATCTATATCCTTCTTATCTTACCTTGTACCCATTTAGAAGGTTTTCATTTATATACTTCCACTATCTTTCTTTAAATATGTTTGTCACTTTATTTGCATGCTGCCAAAACATATGGTGTCTTTGCACATTGAAGGTTGTATATTTTAGTTTCTGTATATGATGGATTAACATATATTATGTTATCTATGTACACAAATACAGTCTTTATTATGCCATTTGCAACCATTTTTTGCCCTTTTAATTTACTATGAACTATTCTTTCGAGGGAAATTTCACAAAATGAAATATGGACATTAGATTTCTAGTCGCACGGTGGAACACACGGTGGAACGCACCGTGGAACGCACCGTGGAACGCATGCCGCAAGCTTGCCCGAAAACGGAAGTGACGTAATCCGGAAGTAACCGGACGAAAGAGAGGCTTGAAACACAAGGGCATCTCCGTTACCATGGAGATTGCCCGCGAAAAAAACAAGCCACAAGCCCTATTTAACCGGATAGAAAAGCAGGAAGGAGTCCTAGAAGTCTCATGAACATTTTTTTTCCAGCTGAGGAAGCCAAACTTGGTGAAACGCGTCCAGGATGAACAGTGAGCTGACTTATTGTCTTTTTGGACTATAGCCACAAGTGTTGATCTGATTTATGCATATTTTAATTTATATTTTTTACAATAAATTATACACCTATTTTTATCACACTCACGGCTTTTATTCCTACCTGCTATTTTGAAAGAAGGAATGTGGTCCTTAACCACACACATCTTATGAAGCAAGCCGATATATAGGCTCAGGGTTTGTGAGTATATTGGTACTATTTATTCTATATACCTTATATACACCAGACGGTACTACGCTATCTCTTTTCCCTCCTGTACTTATCACCTAGGACACAGTACCTGGAGAGAATCTTGGACGAAAAGGAGGGGAAGGGTCGCCTTTACGGACCCTAAGGCGCAGATACTTGAGCTAGTATATCAGCTCAATAAAGTGTGAGTTAGATACTATGTACTTTATTTCTATTTACATTTGGTATACAGATTACACTATGTTCTGTACATTTATGTTTTTGATTTAAGGTTTACCTGGATATATTGGGACTAGCTATAAATACAAACAACCCATCAAGGTATAGCTAAGTCTTTTTTACTCATTCCGGGAGATCCACTATTATAGAGCGCTACACCGATATTTTCCACTTTTTTTCACTTTTCCACAGATACAGGCCTACACAGACACAAGCACTGACATAGTATGCAAAGGAACAGGCATATACATACAGGCAAACCATAACTATAAAATATGCATCCAGCATTGCTACCTGTGCTCTTTGCCGAGGGTTGGAAGTGAAGGTATCCAGTAGCCACAACTATCTCTCGCTAAAACCATACAGAGACAGAGAGCCACTTGCCCTGCTCTTAAAGCCTTTAGATCTCTGTGCTATTGGTGCCATGCTGCTCCCTGCCCTGTTTAGTGAGACTTGGCCAGGAACTGAAGCAGTGCATTTTCCATGTATATTTCCGCTCCATGACCATGACTTGAAAAGCCCTCACCCCCTCAATGCAATAGCGACTGTTGTGGCACTTGTAGTTCCACCACTGCATCCATCTGTATTACAGACTACTTACAAAGTATTTATTTACTTGTGATTTCTTTTTCTCAAGCAAATTATTGATTCGTCATTCTTTCCAAGAGATTCTATGGTCTCCTTACAAGGTTTTGCAGAATTGCCATTCTAGCCTACTCTCAGATTCTACAAGTGAAACATTAATCACAGTATTGGCAATGGAACCCTAAAATGGAGGTCAGGTCTGCCAGCTTTCCCTGATTATGGATGGTGCACAGCAGGGGCGGGCTGGGCCGGGGGGCAGGGAGGCAATTGCCCCCCAGGCCGCCCTAAATTCCTGTAAGGCCGGCCGCGGCGGGCCGGCCCTTTAAATACTGCAGCCGCCTGAGCGCTCTGTTAAAAGCCTCAGGCGGCTGCAGCTCTCCCCTCCCCAGCCAGCCGCACCGTCCACGCCAGCCGCCCGGAGTGAGAAAGTGGGTGCACACTGGAGTGTGCACTTCCGTCGTCCGGTGCCGAAGCAGGGAACAGAAACCCTGTTCCGCTGAGTTTCAAGCTTCAGCCACCGCACCGATTCTGACAGGAAGTGCACACTGAGTGTGCACCTTCCCATCACTCCCGTCGGGTCAGCCACCGCGACCGGAGTGCAGCCCGGCCACGCCACAGGGGAGGGGATAAGAAGAGAGGGAGTGAGGGGAGGGGCAAGAAGAGGGGAGGGAGGGGAATAAGAAGAGGGGGAAGAAGGGGATAAGAAGAGGGGAGGGGGATAAAGAGGAGGGGGATAAAGAGGGGAGGGAACAAGAAGAGGGGGAGGGGGGGTCAAGAAGAGGGGAGGGGGGGATAAAAAGGGGGGAATAAGAAGAGGGAGGGGGGGTGTACAAGAAGAGGGGAGGGAACAAGAAGAGGAGGGGGGGGATAAAAAAGGGGGAATAAGAAGAGGGAGGGGGGAACAAGAAGAGGGGAGGGGGAGTGGGGCAAGGAGGGGGAGACAAGAAAAGAGGGGGGTAAGTAGCTGGAAGAAGGAGGGGAGTAAGAAGAAGAGGAGGTGGAGTAAGAAAAGAGGGGGGAGTAAGAAGAAGAAGAGGGGGGAGCAAGAAGAGGGAGAGGGGAACAAGAAAAGGGGAGGGCGGAGTAAGAGGAGAGGGGAATAAGAAAAGGGGGAGGGCGGAGTAAGAAGGAGGGGAGATAAGAAAAAGAGGGGGGTAAGAAGAAGAAGAAGGGGTGAGTAAGAAAAAGAGTGGGGAGTAAGAAGAAGAAGAGTGGGGAGTAAGAAGAAGAAGAGGGGGTAAGAAGAAGGGTGAGTATGAAGAAATGGGGGGAGTAAGAAGAAGAAGGGGGAGGAAGAGGAAGAAGAAGAAGGGGGGGGTAAGAAGAAGAAGGGGGAGCAATAAGAAGAAGGGGGGTTAAGAAGAACAGGTGGGGGAGTAAGACGACCAAGGGGGGAAGTATGAAGAACACAGGGAGGAGGGGGGTAAGACGAACACAGGGGGTGTTAGGAGAACACATAGAGGGAGGAGTGAGAAGAGCACAGGGAGGGTGGGTGAGTGTGAGAAGAGACCGCTAGGGGAGGGTGGGGGGGAGGAGAGACCACTAAGGTGCAGGGGAGAGCTCTACGGGACAGAAGGGGCAGCTCTATAGGACAGGGGCCAAGACAGGGAGCTCTTTCACACTACGCGCGCGCACACACACACAATGCATCCCTATACATACACAGAAACACAACATGCTTCCCTTACACACAGAGAAACTCACAATGCATCCATTACACACACACACACAATGCAACCCTTACACACAAAGACAATGCATCCTTTGCACACATACACAGAAACAGACAATGCAAACCCGTACACACATATGCAAACACACACACTTCTTTTCTTACATACACACAGAAACACAATGCATCTCTACACTCAATGCACACACATACAGACACACACCTTGCATCCCTTATGCATACAAACACAGATTCACACAATGCATCCCTTACATACAACCAGAAACACATAATACATCCCTTATACACAAATACACACTGCTTCCACTACACACAAACACACTACATCACCTGCACAAACTGGTAACCCTATACACTACATACCATAAGCACACATATTAGATCCTCTACACACTCCACTCCCTGTGAGCGAACTCATGGGTGGGTG